ATTCGCGCGCGCAAGACCAACAAAAAACACGACGATCTCAGGAACTTGCCCCAAAAATGTGACCAACTCCGCTCTCTCTGTCTCTATCTCTGTCTGCTCTCTGTCTCTCTCTCTGTCTGTCTGTGTCATGTATTGTATGTCACAATTGCAGGATGCTGGGCACACGCGCGCCCCGAATAAGTGACCAAGTTCTGTGGGTGTGTACCCCACGCCAGTGTAGTAGCCACGGTCGTCCGCAAGCCACGAAGTGAAGTGTCCGAACGTCATAGGGCGGGAAGCTGGGTGTGGGTGGTGGCGAAGAGTCGTTTGGGAATTTGGTAGAGCTTGAACCGGCCCCCCCACAAAGTGGGGGTATTGCCCGCCTCCTATGAAAACCCTGGCACTGGTGAGAACGGAGTGTCCCCACGTGCTAGTAATTGTTGTTGTTGAACATTATTTATTCTAAGAATAATTATTGTTGGGCCCCCTGGTGCGCGCCCCCCCTGCGCCGCCTAGGCCGCAGCTACATTTTCAACATTTTCGTGAGGAAGCCTCAGAAAAGAGGGTGTGTACAGGATCCGGTTGTTTTGTTGTAATCCGCTTTCCCTTGCAAAAAACAATAGAAAATGACATTTCTTGTTCTAACATAATCAATTTTCAAGAATCCCTTGCAACAAATAAGGTAAAGTGGACATTCGCGCGCGCAAGGCGAAATCCTTCCAAAACCTTAGTGTTCGCAGCGATTTTAACATAAAAACATCAAAAACCAATGGTTTTTCAACAAAAAACTGTCAACATCTCATCCCGCGCGCTCTTGCGGATTCGTAGGAAACCCAACACTTTTTAAACATTTCTGTCAAACGGGCTTTTGCGAGCAACTTTTTCGAACTTCTGCGACAACGGTTGCGCACTTGCCAGGGCCATCATCCCTGTCAAATAATACCATGCGGGACACATTCGTTTGTTCTTCGCGCGCGCACGCCGAAATCTCCAAAAACCATTGGGCTTCTTAAGAATTTTAGCACCGCGCATCATAAAATCACACGAATCGCACCGTAGGTCCTCGAAAAACACCTGCACGACTTTTCAAACTTTCTACCCGCGCGCGCTGTCCGAATCCTAAAAAAACCAATGGTTTTCCAACATTTATGTTACATGAGCTCGCGCGAGCTACTTTCGCACGCTCTTGCATCGGGGTTCGCGCGCCTGCCAGGGGCCACAATCCCTTGCGGTTGCGCCATAGGTTGCGCCCTCGGCCGCCGAGAATAAAACGTCCCCCTATTGGTTGCGCCATAGGTTGCGCCCTCGGCCGCCGAGAATAAAACGTCCCCCTACTGTTGCGCCATAGGTTGCCCCAGGAGGCCTTCAAGAGGCCCCAAGAGCCCGCCGTGAGGACCCAATAAGCCCCCAAGAGGCCCCAAGATGCTTCCAAGAAGCCCCCCAAAGCCCCTCAAGAGGACCCCAAGCGGCGCCAGGAGGCTTCCCCCCTTCCCAAAGAGGACCCCAAGCGGCCCCAGGAAGCCTCCGACTGATCACTGTCACATCCGTAGCCATCTCGGATCAAGGTATCGCCTGTGTTCTTGGATGGGTCATGGCTTTGTCGGCGAAAGCCCTTGTCGACCAGTATGGCCCAGAGCTGTCGCGGCCTCCCTTGGCCGACTGCGAGAGCCCGTATTATTTGCATCAGGCGCTCGTTGCAAAGGGTATCCAGGTCAGTCAGCAGGCGTGCAAGACTTGGTGGGGCAAGTATCGGGTTGTGCCAGGCAAGGTTAGTATTTCTAGCGCCCAGGAGCTGGAGGAGCAGCACGGTTCTGCCATCCGCCACCTGGGCATCGAGTATAATACACCTTTCAAATTATGCGGGGCGCTCCGACAGTTGGATCCACCACTGTATGTGACAGATCAGGTCGCAAATATGTGGCTACTGCAGTATTCTTCCAAAGAGACGCTTGTCAAAGTGCAGAACGCTGGCCATCTGGAGACCTGGTATGGAGAACGTATTCGCAAAGACATGCCCGAGGGGACTACTGACGGGGCCGTGTTGAAGCAGTGGCTCCTGGGACATTTATCTGTATCTGCTGACGCCAGGGTATGCCAGAAGTGGCTCAGCACGGAGTGGGGCGACAAGGGAGCATTGAACACTGCCCAAGCTGTGGAGGACTGTATAGGCCAGCGTCTTCGACTCAATCAGTATCGGGAGAGCTTCGCCGATGAGGCCGCCGCGGAGGTCCTGTCGCAGCTTCTCTCGGAGAGCGATCCTCCCGCTGCTGTCAGCGGCATGGTTTTGAGGCAATGGTACAACCATCGGGACAACCATCGGAACAACCATCGGGACAACCATCGGGACAATCATCGGGACAGTCATCGGGACAACGATCGGGACAAGCACAACCATCAGGACAACCATCGGGACAATCATCGGGACAACGATCGGGACAACCACAACCCTCAGGACAACCATCGGGACAACCATCGAGACAACCATCGGGACAACCATATCCTCTCTCTCTTGTGTATTCCCACATCCCTCAGGAATTTGCCCTAAAGATGTGATCAACTATCTTGTGAGTACGTATCATGTGTATCATGTGTAACATGTACCATATGCATCATATGCAACAGATGTTCTGTGGAAGGCTTAACAACTTCTGTGGGTTAACAAGGCTTAACAACTTCTGTGGGTGTACGAACGTAGGCTTAACAACTTCTGTGGGTGTGTACTCCACGCCAGTGTCGTAGCCACGGTCGTCCGCAGGCCACGAAGTGAAGTGTCCGAACGTCATAGGGCGGGAAGCTGGGTGTGGGTGGTGGCGAAGAGTCGTGTGGATATTTGGTAGAGCTTGCACTGCCCCCCCACAAAGTGGGGGTATTGGCTGGCGTCGCATGAAAACCCTGGCACTGGTGAGAACACTGAGCGTTCGGGTAAAGTGATTGTTGTTGTTGTTGTTGTTGGTGCTGTTGAATATTGCTTTATTGTTGATAAAGATGGTGATGCTGCTGATGAGGATGCTGATGATGATGCTGATGATTGTGACGATGCTGTTCTTCATGAACACTGTGGTGACGATGACGACGATGATGATGACGATGCTGATGCTGATGATGATTATGATACCATTATTGTTATTAGGCTTATGATGCTGATGGTGATGATGACGTTGATGCTGATGATGATGATGATGATGACCAGCATCATCGTGATCATGGTGATGCTGCTGATGATGCTACTGATGATAGTGATGATGCTGATGATGATGATGATGATTCTGATGATGATGATGATGAATATGATGATGATGATGATGATGATGATGATGATTATGATGATCGTGTTGATGATGATGCTGCTGATGATGATGATGATGATGAGGAGGAGGAGGAGGAGGAGGAGGAGGGCATTAGATGAAGGAGGAGGAGGAGAGGAGGAGGAGGAGAGGAGGAGGAAGATGAGGAGGAGGAGGACTGTGATGGTGATGATGAGGAGGGGGAGGAGGTTGAGGAGCAGGGAGAGGGAGTGTGGGAGAGGGGGAAGGAAGTGGGGAGGAGGAGGCGGAGGAGGAGACGGACAGCCCCCCCCCTCCTCCCGTATTTGTTTGGGGGGTCTGGTTTTTTTCCCAGGGTGCTCGGAGTTCATGGGCGCTCCAGTGGTTTCTAGGTGATTGTGCAGGGGGAGGAAGGAGAAGGAGGCGGAGGTGGAAGAGGGGCATGATCCGAGCGATGTGGAAGGGTGACGAGGCGGGGCACATGAGCACCACTGGGTTTTCTCCGAGGCGGTGTATGAGCAAGGGACGAACGCAGAGGCTGGGGTGTGGTGGCGGTGGCGGACGGGTTACAAGGACCAGCCGGGGGGAGCAGGAATAATGACGATATTGAGCTGAGTGAGAAGGGGTATTGATGCACCCTGAGGATGATTGAGAGCTGAGATTCCGAGACAGTCGAGGAGGTCGGGCATAGTGTCGCAGGGGATGGTGACACCGATACGGTGCATCTTCACATGGAAGACGCAGACGAGTAGCAGGACGAGGAGGTTCGGCAACGAACCGACGAGGACATCGATCATCACCTGGCTTACTCGTGCGCATCTTATGTTTTGGCCAGCTTCTCGCCAGGAGGAGGTGGCGCGCGTCATCGAGACCCTGTGCCGGCTGACATCGCATACCGACGCGGTCCTGAAGTGTCTGCACAAATTGCTGGAGGCAAGAAAGGGTGAGGGAGGGAGGAGCGGTGCAGGAGGAGGAGGAGGATGATCATGTGGAGGAGGAAGCGGGGGTGTAGGAGGAGGCGGAGGTGGAGGAGGAGGAGGAGGAGGAGGAGGAGGAGGAGGAGGAGGAGGAGGAGGAGGGTCCGTAGCCAGTTTGGCTCAAGCCGCCACTTGCTGAGATGAGCCGCGCAATTCACGCAGCCATCTAGCCCCCGCGCGCCCCGCGGCTGCTGCCCAGGTCGACGGCTGCTTCCGTATCCCTGCCAATCCGTATCTAGCTGATTGCTGCTCAGCTGACTGTGCATTGCATCGCTAGTGGATTTCAGCGGCGGGACTGCCGCGCAACAGGAGTTGCCACTCTACCGGTCCGGCAGTGAATCCCCGTTCGTGTCTCTAACGGTGACTTCAGAGTTCAACAAGCAGCTGGTGTCGCCAAACTTCGGCTGTTCCTTCGCTTCTTCCCGAGCTTCTGGCGGATGCGACGGCTGGAGCGCACGTCCAAACATAACAATCAACGGCTTCGTTGATGGGGTGGCGCCTGAGCCTGTGGCGTCAAACCCGCATGCCACGGAGTATCCCCAGCAGGTGGTGGTCAGCACATTTGATGCTCTTGTTCGCGATGGTCACCTTCTCTGCCACAGCAACGGGCTACATACGAATCAAAGGATGATGTGTAGCGTGCCTCCGCCATGAGCTGCACACTTTGTTTGGGAGAAGTGCTTCACTTCGGCACTGGCGCCCTGCGGGCTGTGCCGTGAACGCATGCACACCAAAGGACCCGCCCTCGCCTGGCGCGCCTGATGAGGGGCCCGTGCCAGAGGTGTCCGACTATGCCGAGCTGCACGCCAGAATCAATGGCCTCTCCAGTTCGCCGGGACGTGCTGCGAATGAGTATGTACCTGGACCGTCGCTTGCCTGCGCAACGCTGGGGGCATGGAAGAAGCAGGACACAGAGCAGGAGCTCGAGCAAGTGCTGCCCCCGCTGGTGGACAGCCTGATGCAGCAGAAGTTTCCGACGGTCATGGACGATGGCCCGGGCAACAAGCCCAGCCTGGCTCCGCAGCGGCGGACGTCGGTGATGGTCGACGGCGTCGCGAACAGTCTCCGCGAGTGCGCCGGGAGGTTGCGAGAACTCTTTGGGGGCCAGGCAGAGTCTCTCGAGCTTCTTGAGGCGCTGAGCATCGTCGAGTCCAAGGTGAGCGTATGTCGGGCTCGGCGGGAGGAGCTGGCTGGGTAGGGCACGCTGGCTCCAACGGAGGTGCCCTCTGCTTCCGGGTAGTCTGCCCCCTGGGCGCCACTCGAAGGGTGCACCACGGCTTTGCCGATGGGCCTCTCGTTTTTCCCTGGGGCTCACGCCCAGCGCCTTCAGTGGCAGGTCTGGGGAAGTGTGCGGTGGCGAGGATGGGCGCGTGTTCGTGGAGCTTCTTGGCTACGAGGGCGCAGGCCCGGCAATCCTGGTCATGGACAGCGTGGGCAGCGATGCGGAAGAGGCATCCGCCGACAGCGGGCCTGCGGGTACATCCGCAGCGGTGGGGACTCCTTCGGGCGGGCATCCCCGTGCCCTCGAACTGCATGGGGCAACGACTACGAGTTCGACGTATGAGCAGGGTGCCGCCAGCGCCCACTGAGGCGTTCGCGGCATTCGGGTGGCTACGTGCGAGGAGTAGGAGTATGGAGGAGTGGGGATGATCTATCGTTCCTGATGCGTTGTCCGTCGTCCGTCGTCGTCCGTCGTCGTCCTCGTCGTTCGTCCTCGTCGTCGTCCGTCGTCCGTCGTCGTCGTCGGCGGCGGCGGCGGCGTCGTCTTCGTCGTCGGCGTCGCCGGAGGGCGGCGGCCCCGCCGTCAGGGCCCCGCGGGCGGGCGCGGTGCCGCGGCCGCCGCGGGCGGCGCCGCGGGCGGCGGCAGGGGGCCGCTGCAGGCGGCCGGGGGGCAGCGTCGCGGGGGGCCAGCCAGAGGAGAGGAGGAGCCTTGGCATCGCTCGGACGTGTGCAGTTTCCCTTCGGCCAGGGCCGTCGAGGAGCATCCTTGATCCTTTGGCGAAAAAGCCACGCCCGAGGAGAGGAAGAGCCTTGGCATCGCTCGGACGTGTGCAGTTGTCCCTTCGGCGAGGGCCGTCGAGGAGCATCCTTGATCCTTTGGCGAAGAAGCCACGCCCGAGGAGAGGAAGAGCCTTGGCATCGCTCGGACGTGTGCATTTTCCCTTCGGCCAGGGCCGTCGAGGAGCATCCTGGATCCTTTGGCGAAAAAAGCCACGCCCGAGACTGAAAAAAAAAGCACTGGGAATGGACGTCCGAGCGATGGCGAGGAGCGGCGTGCGGGGTCGCGGGCCCGAGGCGGCCTCGTCTTCGGGGCCGCCTCGGGCTCCTGCCCCGCGCGGCTGCGCTCCGGGCCGGGCCGTGCCACGGGGGGCGGCGGCGGTGGGTGGGGCGCGACGGGTGGGAACGGTCGTCGGCGATGTGGCGGCGCTGGCCCGGCTGACTTCTCGCTGCCCCCCGCCTTGGGGGCAGCGTTCGCCGAAGAGGCCCAGCATCGGGGGTGGCGCCCACGGAAGGGGACCTCGTGGGGGGGATCGCCTCGTGGTCACAGGGATGCGGCGTGCTTTTTTTGCACGCCATCGATCCGACGCCAGCCGTGGGCTCAGGGGGGACGTCGGGGTTCGAGTTTCCAGGTGTTCTGACGTTCCTCAGGCGATCGCAAACATGGATTAAGGGGGCGTGGATTAGCGACGGGTCCCGTTTTAATGGGGAATCGCGAGTTCCGCTGCCGAGCGAGGCGGCACCGGCCGCATTTTGGGTAGGGCACCTCCCCCGATCCATGGATTTTGCGACCGCGCGCCAAATCCATGGATCGCTAATCCATGTTTGCGCACCCCCGAGTTCCGAGGTTCGAATTTCGATGGCTCCGAGGTTCGCGGTTCGATGCTCGAGAGCGTTCTTGTGGGCCCACAACGTCCGAAGGGCTGGCAGAGAGCCGAAGCATGACCCGAAAGCCAAGGACCAACGACAGGGGGGATAGGATCAGAAGGGGACGAGTCATTCCCCAATCATCCACTAATCGTCGATAGGAGCCTGCCCCGCCCAAGAGCGTGCGGATTCGCCAGCAAGGGCCTGTCGCCGATGTATCCGCGACGTATGTCCGATTCCGAGCCGATGTTTCCCCCTGAAGCGCCCCCCCCCCAAACGTTCCACCTCGCAGGTGCCGCTGCACGCGCTGCTCGGCGGCAGGACGCCGTTTGGCCGCCGCTCGTCGTCGTCGCCGTCGTCGTCGTCGTCGTCGTCGTCGTCGTCGTCGTCGTCGTCGTCGTCGTCGGCGCCGGCGCCGGCGCCGCCGCCGCCGCCGCCGCCGCCGCCGCCGCCGCCGCCGCCGCCTCGCCCGGCCAGCTTCGAGGGAGCGGGCGGGCTCCCGCCAGTGCGCGGGGTCTGCCGCTGGCGCGCCGCACGCGGCGGGCGCCCGCCCGGGAGGCGGCGCGCCGGGGAGGCCCGCCGCCCGCGGAGGCGGCGCGGAGGCGGAGCCCGGAGGGGCCCGGCACGGCAGCCTGGGCCCGCCTTGGCCCGCCTTCGATCGCCACGTGTGGACGACGCCCGGGGGCGTCGAGAGCAGCGCAGCTACGGCAGAGGCGCCCGCGGGGCCCGAGCCGAGCCGAAGCGCCGTCGATGTCGATGTCGATGTCGTCGTCGTCGTCGTCGTCGTCGTCGTCGTCGTCGTCGTCGTCGTCGTCGTCGTCGCCTCCGTGTTTTTCGTTGGGGGGCATGGCCCGCTGCTGCCCGGCGCCCGCCGCCACGGCTGGGCCGCAGCTCCTCGCAGCTGGCCAGGGGTCAGGAGGGAACAAAAGCACACAGACGCAGTGAATCGTCGACTTCCCCAGGAAAAGGTGGGAAAATATGGGACGTGGGGGGGGGAGACAGACGCCCAGAAAGTATGGGCAAAAAGGGGGCATCTTGTTATCTGTGTCTATCTATTTGTGCGTCCCAGGGCCCCTTCACAGGAGGGGCTCCAGGAAGGGTCCTGGGGACCGAGCTGGAGCGTGTTTTGATGTCGTCGCGTCGCCAACCAGGGAATCATCAGGCAGTGGCGGCGCGTCTGGCGTGCCTATATCAGGAGCGGAAAAAACACGGACACAATGAATCGTCGACTTCCCCAGGAAAGGATGGGAAAATATGGGACGTGGGGGGGAAGACAAACACCCAGAAAGTATGGGACAGTATGGGGAATCCTGTTATTTGTGTCCATCCATTTGTGCGTCCCAGGGCCCCTTCAACCGAGCTGGAGCGTTTTTTACCTAACAGCTTTTGCTGATAGCATCCGGGGAGCTGTGTCCGAACTCGTGTCCGAATGCGCTTTTCGAAAACAGTCACACACTTCGTGCTCTTCGACCTCCCAGAACTCCATTCCCGGGCCACATTCTGAATGCCTGGAGCCAACTGTAGGCCACTTCGTGCTCTTCGACTTCCCAGAACTCCATTCCCGGCCCACATTTTGAATGCCCGGAGCCAACTGTAGGCCACTTCGTGCTCTTCGAGTTCCCAGAACTCCACTCCCGGGCCACATTCTGAATGCCCGGAGCCAACTGTAGGCCACTTCGTGGTCTTCCAGTTCCCAGAACTCCATTCCTGGGGCCACATTTTGGATGCCCGGAGCCAACTGTAGGCCACTTCGTGCTCTCCGAGTTCCCAGAACTCCATTCCCGGGCCACATTTTGAATGCCCGGAGCCAACTGTAGGCCACTTCGTGGTCTTCGAGTTCCCAGAACTCCATTCCTGGGCATGATTTTGAATGCCCGGAGCCAACTGTAGGCCACTTCGTGTTCTTCTAGTTCCCAGAACTCCACTCCTGGGCCACATTTTGAATGCTGAGGCAGGCTGAGCTGCGGCCGAGGCAGGCTGAGGCTGAGGCAGGCTGAGGCTGAGGCCGAGGCTGAAGGCAGACTGAGGCTCAGGCTGAAGCAGGCTGAGGCTGAGGCTGAGGCTGAAGGCAGGCTGATGCTGAGGCAGGCTGAGGCTGAGGCTCAGGCTGATGCAGGCTGAGGCTGAGGCAGGCTGAGGCTGAGGCCGAGGCTGAAGGCAGACTGAGGCTGAGGCTGAAGCAGGCTGAGGCTGAGGCTGAGGCAGGCTGAGGCTGAGGCTGAGCAGGCTGAGGCTGAGGCTGAGGCTGAGGCTGAGGCTGATGCAGGCTGAGGCTGAGGCAGGCTGAGGCTGAGGCCGAGGCTGAAGGCAGACTGAGGCCGAGGCTGAAGCAGGCTGAGGCTGAGGCTGAGGCAGGCTGAGGCTGAGGCTGAGGCAGGCTGATGCTGAGGCAGGCTGAGGCTGAGGCTGAGGCTGATGCAGGCTGAGGCTGAGGCAGGCTGAGGCTGAGGCGAGGCTGAAGGCAGACTGAGGCTGAGGCTGAAGCAGGCTGAGGCTGAGGCTGAGGCAGGCTGAGGCTGAGGCTGAGGCAGGCTGATGCTGAGGCAGGCTGAGGCTGAGGCTGAGGCTGATGCAGGCTGAGGCTGAGGCAGGCTGAGGCTGAGGCCGAGGCTGAAGGCAGACTGAGGCCGAGGCTGAAGCAGGCTGAGGCTGAGGCTGAGGCTGAGGCAGGCTGAGGCTGAGGCTGAGGCAGGCTGATGCTGAGGCAGGCTGAGGCTGAGGCTGAGGCTGATGCAGGCCGAGGCTGAGGCAGGCTGAGGCTGAGGCCGAGGCTGAAGGCAGACTGAGGCTGAGGCTGAAGCAGGCTGAGGCTGAGGCTGAGGCAGGCTGAGGCTGAGGCTGAGGCAGGCTGAGGCTGAGGCTGTGACTGCGACTACCATTGCCACTGCGACTTTCATCGCGAATGCGACTGCGACTGCCAGAACAGCAGAATTCTACAACTGGATTCTCATGTGAATCTTAAGGGGAATGCTTCCAGATATGCTCCTACACATCGCTGTTAGGTTGCTTTGCCGGGATAATTGATGTCGTCGCGCCGCCATGGGGGGAAGCATCAGGCAGTGGCGAAGCGTTGTGGCGTGCCTACGGGCCTGTCAAGCCATGTTCTAAGGACCTAGTTGGTGCTTTCCACGGACGGTTCTTCGAACTTTTCTGGCTGGGACTGTCTTGTTTTAACACATCGGGCCTGTGTTCGAAGAGCATTGCTTTTGCTCTTAGAACATTTTTGGGTTCTAGAAGCAATCCGTGGTAGGCCTACAGAGATGCCGGGACGGTCGGTCCCTGCTCAAAATCAGGGAAGGACATGTACCGAGACCTATGCCCTTCTCTCGTCGCAGCGGCTGAATTCGCCTCGAGGACTTGGGCAGAACGCAATCCGGGAGAACAGTGTGGAGCGGCGGTACTTGGGAGAGGTTTGTGCAGCAGCGGTGCTGGTACTTGTTTGTCCCTCCTGAGAAAAACGACGGTTCCTGAGTTGTCCGTTTTTTTCGCGGCCTCAAAGAGCCCCTGGACAGCAATGAATAATTGCAGCCAGAAGCCCGTCCTCGAGGGCCCCTGTAGTAGTAGTAGTAGTAGTAGTAGTAGTAGT